TTTTTCTTTTTGTTCTTCTTATTAGTCGGCTAGTTGTTAAAGAAGAACATCTCAATAACATTGCTTTGTGAAGACAGTAATTCTGAGTTTTTCTCTCCTTGTATCAATTAAATGCATGCTTTTTAAATAACTATATAGAGAAATAAAATTCTGCATGTATCCAACGAGTTCATGATAAATTTGAGCATTTTCCATTTTCCGAAAGAAAAAGAAATTATGCATTAGTATACACATTGTTTTCACTGGCATTAGCATAGCATTGGCATAGTTTGTGATTATACCCAATCAAAGTCAACAATCAAATGGACTCTTTCCAGTGAATGAAGGTCATCTCTCAGGGATGATGGAATTCTTACAATTAGATAGTAAGTCATCCAACAGGTTTGTGTTTACAGATATTTGAAATGTTGACACATACCTATTCTAAAGTTTATATTTTAGTTATTTAGCAATCAGTTTGATTGAGCAATCAAGTTGTTTATCAAACAATCATATTCAAGAATAGTATCAGAAAATAACAGCAGCTAAATGATTACAAAACTAATCAACATTTATGTAACCCAGTACATACAAGATAGCATGGAAATTTAAGATCTTTACAAGCCCTGATCTCAACCTGGACTAATAATGATCACCAACCCTGAACATTAAAACTAATTTTAAGGGAAAGCCAATGAAAAAAGTACAGTGGACTCTAGGTAAGACAGGTAGAAGGAAGCATAGGAACATTTCATATGGGAAAGGAATTCCAGAAAGGGTTAGTAAGAGAGCTAAAAGAACAATTACCAAACAATTGTCCAAAAGAACAGACAGTTGGGAAATGGTAGAAGGATAATTTCACCACAGAAGAAATTCTAGAGTCCTAAGTAACCTTACTGTCCAAAATAATCCTAAGAAAGGAAGGGTCCCAGGAACTGACTTATAAAACCAGGATAAAAGAACTTAGACTTAGAGTTTCTGAGAAGAATCTTAGTGATAGGAATGCTTTTTATTGAACATTCATGGCAGATATACAGTCTTCAATATCAAAGCCTGAAGTGAACTCAGGTATCTGAGTGGAAATTTCTGGGATTATGTGGATAATATCTCCATGCTTATGAAGTCAATGCACAAAACGTAGTATGTTAAATAACAAAGGCCCCAAAACAGAACCTGTGGAACACTACATGTAAGCTGGCTTGGAGTGTTATTTTTACTATCAAAGAATACAGATTCCATATTATTACAAGATTAATGGCAAAAGGAGTATTGATATTGAGTAGGGATAAGCACTCATGGTTTAGCATCAACATTGATACTCCAGAAGATAGTTAATAACAGTCTTTATCACCCATATTCTCTCCTGCTCTAGGGCAAACACCAGACTAGGAGGGCTCAAGGAAGTTTTTATTAATCAGATATCTCAACAACTGACAATAATCCTGTTTGGTGTCTTGGACAGGAATGGAAGTTAAGGAATAGATTGGAACATAGATAAAACCGAAGAATCAAGTGCATGCTTCTTGTACTGTATACAGGTAAGGCACAGCTGTGTCTGCGAGTAGTTGGCACAGTACATAACTGAAAGGATAAATTGATGGCATGTGCAGATTTATTGCATGAGTTAATTGCTGCAGGAATTCCTGTAAAATATACTGTACCAAAAAGTATGAATGAAAGATTACTTACAGTTTCTGTAGATTATGATATTTGTAGAAAATATCAGCGTTCAATTTCCTTAACCTATTTCTCTGAAGAGACCTGAAATATTGATAATTTATTAGTTTACAATCTGGACATAACACTCAGTCATCTCTGTGTCTTTTCATGTTATTGTCACATCTTACAGCTTTCAAAACGTAAAAAAAATGTATAATATATTGAAACCTGTTTTTTCACAGGAATGCAGTACACTATATTTAGTGTAGAAATTATATTTTGATATGTAATGCTATATAAAACTGTTCAACCTATATTAATCTGTTATTTAAAAATACCTGGATAGAGTACATTAAAATAAGATAATTTATTGACTTTGTTTCTTAATGTAATCACTTTTTACCTCAACACACCCAGCCCATTTGTTTTTCAAGCAATACCTTGATAACGAACCTCTTTTGACTACGCCTTTAAACTGCTCATAAATGGATTTAAGGCACATTTCAAGACAGAATTCCAAGCCAGATGTACAGTACTGTGCTATTTACTACATCTTTCAATTTGGTGGAGGCTACATGTGGGATGTAACGTGTATTGTTTAAACATTAACTAACAAATGGTAGTCTGTGTAACTAATTCAACCCATACAAGCTGTTGTACGGCAGAAGACCTATCATATCACAGCTGTCATATTTTATAAATTACTTTGCACAACAGGCCATCAGTCAGCTAATATTGAGTAGTGACTGTAATTGTATGATATCAGTCAGCAGCATCTATTTTTCAGAGAAGATAAAATTTTCTTATGTCAATAAAACTGTGCAACTGTGGAACAGCTGTGAGTTGCATGACAAATCATGTTAGGACACATATTTCAACTGTTGCTTAAATGTTGTCATTAATTTTTCAGATAAATATATTTAATATCCAAGTTTCCCATATTAATATTTCATACACTGTGTACATTTCCTCATCTGTACGAAAGTATTCAGACCCCTGGAGTTTTCACATTTTGCTACTTTGAAACCTGTAGACATGACTCTTTGAATTATTAATAAATACGGTATTTGCTAATAAACCTACTCCACACACTCAAAACAATAAACAATAAGAAAGGTAATATAAAAGAAAAACTGAAATGTCATAATTACATAAGTATTTATGCAATTTTGCTGTGGAAAATCTAAACTAATATTGGGCCACAAAATTACCTCAATATGTTGCAATGACAATTAAAGGAGTGGCCTTCAGTGAGAAAATGTGTATGAGTCATCAATACCCCAGTTACTCCATGTGTTTTGAAATGATCACAGAGTTCATAGTTCAGAGTTCTCAGAGTTGGCTGAGATGGGAAAAATGTGCATCAGTCAACAATATCCAGAACACTTTACAAAATGGTTGTATATGGCAAGGTCACAAGAAGTAAGCTATTACTAAAAACAACAGCAACAAAATATTTAAGTGATACTGCAAACATGTGGCAATAGGTTTTGTGGTCAGGTGAAACAAAACAGGAAACTTTTGATTTAAATGCAAAGACTGTGACTGATGAAAAGTCCAACATATTGCCTCACCTAGTTAATACCATGCATGCAGTTAATAATCAAGTCAATTGACATGTAGTAGCTTTCTCATCAGCAGGAGCTGGGAAGCTTCTTGAGATTCATGGGAAAATTTATGGAGAGAAGCACAGACAAATTCTAGAGAAAAAGCTGCTTTAATCTGCTAAAGACCTGCTAAAAGCACAACTAATATTGATACTAATTGTTCATATGCAGTGTTGAATACTTTATAGGAAATATGTTTATATGCTTATGACTAAGAAATTGGACAAGAAACACCAAATATGCTTGCAGGTGTAATGTACATTCAGATTCGATTTGTTTTCCCATAGCTCCTTGTTGAATAATAACTTTCATACATTACATACCCAAAACAGAAATACACAAACAGCATGTCCCAAGAACAAAATAACACATAAACAGAGAACAAAAAGGTAAGCATATCGAATAAATCATAAATGTTGTTATTTTAATATTTAATTTCATATCAACAATTAATTTATATTAATATTGAAAGGAACTTAATAATTTCTAAATATTTGTACTGTGTGTAAGATAAACAGATATGCTTACTATTGTAGGCTCATATGTAATTCTAGTCTGAACATCAATCATCAATCAAGCTGTGTGTGTGATACGGAAATACATCATCCTTAACTTGAAATGGGTCAAATATGACTTGAAATGCTTTACTGAAAAAAACTTAATCTTCTTCACAACTGCATAAACCTTTGAGAGAAATTGCTGAACTGGAAACCAAATTGGTTTTCTAGAATATGCCAAAAATTGTAATTACTGTCACTCATGCTATTTGCTTTATCCTTGTCAATACTATTTATAATAGTACTATGTTTTCAAAAAATTCAGAACTATTCATTTTTTTTATCTTCCTTTCACATGACTATTAGCAGTATCTTTGTTTTTTATAAATCTATCCACAATAAATGGAACACAAAATTCAACCAAGATGGAACATAATGATACTAATGTTTATATATAAAGCCCAAGCATACTTAGAAAAGCTAGCTTGTAATAAAGGCAGAATAATAGGTTTGGGAAAAATAAAAGCAGAACAAACATACTCAGACTTTACATGAAGGTGTCTACGTATTAGCATCGATTTGTCCATATCCTTAACACATTGCCAAAAAAAAACCAAATACTGTTATGTCTGTATTTTAAAATAGTGACAAACTTACATAAAGCTTTTGACAACTAGAGCGTCTGCCTCTTAAGTCTCCTCAAAGGCATATTAAAAGTATAAATGTGATCTCTGACAGTTACGTAACAAAGTATTGAAGTGTAAAAGTGAAAAATTTAATAAATATAAACTTGTAAAATAAGTGGTGGATATTATTTAAGCTGGTAGTAATTTTTTCAGACCTAGTGTATTATGCTCTCTGCCATTCCAGAAGTACTTTCCTCAGCTGATCTACTTACATCTTTGTCACATTTGTGGACACTGAGGGCACAGATTGAAGCTGGGCATCATCACAGTCCATTTCCAGACCTCTGCACGAGCACTCGCCTGGAACAGTCCCAAGTACTACATGAAGAGAAATGAAAATTCTGGCTTTAAATATGCTTTTTCTTTCTTCTCAGCTTTAGGACAACAACATTGTACTGAACAATCTACAACTTCTGACAGAAAACCTTTTTTTATCCACAGTGAATTTAGGAGTTGTTTTCATGAGTCTCTGTTAACCTGTAAGGGTAAATTATTCTCAGTAGCCCAACATCTTTAAACATAACAGTTGTCATGAAAGCACGCTGATCACTCCCCACTGTACATCAACGGCTCCCCTGTGGAGACCACCTCCCTAGCCAATAAAGCACAGCAGCGTCTCTATTTCCTGCGGTGACTGAGGAGGGTAAACCTTCCCCTGCCCATTCTTACCACTCTCTACAGAAGCACCACTGAGAGCACCCTGACCAGCTGGATCACTGCAGGGTTTGGGAATTGCAACGCTTCTGACCGCAAGACCCTGCAACGAATTGTGGGAACAGCTGAAAAGATCATTGGAGCCTCCCTCCCTTCCATTCCTGTCACCTCTCACAAACGCTACTTACACAGGGCCTCCAGTAAAGTAGATGACCCCTCCCACCCCTTCCAAAAACTCTTTGCCCTCCTACCATCTGGAAAAAGATATCGCAGTGTATGGGCTAGCTCCACCAGACTCTGTAAGAGCTTCTTCCTGCTCTTTAACACCCTGGAATCTACTTGCACCCACTCCAATTCCAGAAACAGGGTTTAAATTCCCCCAGTGTACTGTATGTGTATCCTGTCTATGTCAGTGTCCTGTCTGTCCTGTCTGTATTTACACAGTGGACCAGGAGGAACGATATTTCGTTCCACAGTATACTTGTATATGGCTGGAATGGCAAATAAACGTGAACTTGAATTTGAACTTGTAGACAAAAGGTGATAAAAGGAACTGGTACTTTAAAGTACTTTGGTCTTTACTTTCTATGTTTTCAGTCCATCTGAAAGCACCTTATTTGCAAACATAGTATTGTATTTTGTATTAGATTCCCTGAGGAATTGCAGTGTTAATTCAAGCAAAAAACACCTATCTTGGTTAATTATTAATGTAGCACATTATGAAGAATGATAGAAAGCTAGGAATTGTATGTAGAGTACTGTGTGACCCTGATTGCATTGTGTAAAACCTAAATAAGTAAATAAGTGATTATTTATTACCAATAACTCAGATGCTGCAATGTTCATAAAGTAGATGCAATAATGCTGACACTAGTCAGTAACTGATGTGGCAAATCTCACCTTATGATTGTGAGTGACAGAGGTGTGGAAACACTGAAATGGCCCACATAAATTGCTCGTAAGGGGGCAATATATCCCACTAAGAATGAATGGGTTACTTTTGTACTCTCTAGCTTTTGAATACAAATTCCTGTCCAGGCAAGAGCAACCAGATGAATTTCTCAAAGGGGTGTCCTATAACAGCACAAAAGGACAAGCTAAAATAATGAACGTTATAATGCATGAAGTCTACAGGGGACTTGATTCAAGTATTCATAATCCTCAAAGGCACTGACAAAGTCAATTCTATAAACATTAAAGAACCATGAAACATGAAACAGAGGATGCAAGTGAAAACTACAGGGGAGTGTATTTAAAACTTTGAACAGCAGGTGCTTCTTTACACAAAGGCATGGAATAAGCTAACCAGCCATGTAATTAAAGTTATTATCCTGGCTTCTTTCTAGAAATGGTAGGTTTTTTGCTCAAGTAGCTGCTTACTTCCAAATAAGTTAGATGGCCTGAATGGACCCTTGTGTTGTAAAGAGTTGGTGTAGTTAGGATGTCATGATGTGATAGCAATTCAGAGGTGGTGTTGCAGCCTTTCACTGCTCAATAAACTGTATGTGAGAGTTATCCTATGTGAAAACAGTTATAGGTAAAATAAACATGTAACAGCAAGGCTTAGTTTTGTGCATAGAACTTTTTAGTAATTTTATTACTCTCTAACAGAAACCAGGACATCATAAATTGGGTCCATCTTGACACCTTCAGTAATGAAGTGCCCAACACCTCATTGCCTGTTATCTGATGGTCAAAGGCTAATCATCTAGAATGACCACTTAATGAAGAACCTGTAGAGTGGGTAGGACAACACACTTAACCCCAACCACACCAATAGTGTTTATGTGACTTAAAAAATACTGCACAACAAATAGAAACTTTATGTCTCAATATGCACACTAGCTGTCTTGTGCCCTTCATATCGGCATTTCTTCCTAGGTCTGCAAGGGCTTAATCCTTGTTTCACATGGATGCTCGCATTAGAGCAGACATCACTAAAGGGAATTATCCCAGATTGTTTCCGGAATGGTGATGTTTCATTTTCTAACCTATGAAATATTGTAAACAGTTTTAAAATGCATTATATTAAAATATATTTAAATTTAAAATACAGTGCTTTGCAAACATATTCACCCCCCTTGGACTTTTTTCAGAGTTGGTTACTTCAGTTTTTATTTTTAATTAACTCAGTAAAATGTCTGGAGTTTATTTTCACTTTGACATTATAGAGTACTTTGTGTTGATGAGTGGCAAAAATTATCAGTTAAATACATCATGGTTCCATGTTGTAACACAATAAAATATGAAAAAAGTCCAAGGGGGGTGAATATGTTTAATATTAAATAATAACTCCAATATACTATCAATGTATTTGAAATATAAACTCCCTGCTGTGCTCCTCGGCATTGTTTTTTATTTTTTCTATTATTTCTAAAGCACCTAGATGAAAGATAAAAAGTTTGATTTTCTTATGTAAAATATCTGTTATCAAAGGCCAAACATTCATTGTGCAAAAATGCCATACTTACAGCACTTATCAAGCCTGGTTCCAAAATTATTATTCAGAATTCCAAAATATTTGTCAAACAGGTGAGGCCATCCGTTGTTATCTCCTATGAAAAAAAGAAATGTTTTAGAGTTGTGACATTTTATTTCTCAAGGTAATACAATGATTACTTCAAATTAACAATAAAACTTTAAGATGTAAATCCTTCATGAAATTTATTTAAGTAAAGTACAATTTCAATGAAACACCATGAAGTGCTTTTGTTTTGGACTATAATAATGAAAAAGAAACTGTTTAACTACTGTTTATTTACTATTGATTTAAATATTTTACTTCCTAAGGATGTAACACCACATTTCCTGTCAATAACATTATCCTCACAGGATCACAGGACCTGTGAGAAATTGTATGAAATGTCAAAGGTCTTCAGAAGCAGAAAGAAGAAATATTTGTAAATGAATATCGACTAATTACGCAGGAGGTCAAGCCTATGTAGTAAATTTAGTATGTACAGTAATACCTGGGAGGATATTGATCTGGTTTGTTTTGTTGTGCATAAACAAGAAACATATTAAAGACACAATAACATTTCATTCAGCTTTACTATGGACTCACTGATGAATTAGACTTGAGTTATATACAGTGCATGACAAAGATTTTAAAACAAATCCCTGGTTATGTAAGTCCTCTTATCATAACCGCATTCAACTGCAAATTAATTGATGAGCTGAACAGACAAAAAAGTATAATATAGTGTTCAAACTGCTTCAAAATGACAAGATCGTGTGCAGCTGTAATTTCTAATAAGTGGCATATTTTCTTGAGCAGGTTAAAAAATAATGTTAATACCATAATTAATAATTAATAAGATTAGCAACACATTAAAAATCCAAATAAAAGTTTAACAAACAAAAGAGAAAAAAAGTAAACCTTTAAACCATATATTGCAAGAGATAATGGGGACATACAGATGCAGCCATTCAAACTTCGCGGTATACCGTTATTAAGTTATTTAGATACGCAAATCCATATTATATTCCCTATTAATCCAATTCTAAAGGTATGCATTTGTTTTATTCAATAACGAGCATATTCGCAGAAAAGGTTAAAATTATCAATTTTCACAAAGTATATAAACGTACAGTAATATGGTCAGAGGGAGCACGTAAAAATGTTTCGGAAATAACCACATGTAAGACTTTGATGCTTAAAATGTTTATAGAGAAATGGAATACTGGTGTGCATTTTTTCTTTAAACTACCAAGACCAGCAATATACAGTACAGTTTACATTATATGTTTATGTTCCTAAATTAATATCGCTTATGAGCATGTGAAAGGCATGGTGAATCGGAGACTCTCAAGACTTACTTTCTATGATTGGAAAGAAATACGTGATCGGATCAACTAAATGCTGTGGTGTTACTCTTTGTCAATGAAAAAATAAAGTATTTTCGTTTACAAACACAATTACAAAGAATGTGGACCAGGGTAATACTTTAAGTTTACAGCTTGTCCAAGGTCATTCATTATTAATACTATTAGTGATATCTTCGGTAAAGACTTTGATGCATAAAATATTTCTGCATAATTAAAATATTTATGATAAAGGTGGTAGGTTGTGTACTTTTTTCCAACTGAGCAATCCTGCTTTCATAAAATATACCAACTTTTTAATGTATAATGATTAACATGCTGTAATACACAGTTTAAATTTAAAAGTCTAAAGAGTATACAACTTAAATTCTTAATTGAATAAAGATTGTCCCTCAGCAGTGATCGGGATTTGAAACAGGATGTTTTCTGGTGACAGCTCAAATGTTGTACAGGAGAGGTTAAGCTTTATTAGCTCCACCTGGCGTATTTACAAGGTGATCCCGGATACTATTAACATAATCTAATTTGCATATGGTAAAGCGCGGTATGGTGCGAAATGACGCGTCAAGACTCGTTCTGATTCGACATCCCCACCGCGTTGTAAAGCAATGTACCCCACTTGTTTTGAATGGCTGCATCTGTAGATGCATACAGTAGCTGAAAGGAATTACAGAACAAGGCTTTAAAATACAAAATCAATATCAAAGTTTTACTATACATACTTTCCATCAGTCTTTTTTCTGCTGTTTGCTAACAAAGGATCTTTGCTTGTGATCAGAGCATTACTTATATAAACACAATCCAAGACAGCAATGAAACACTCATTATACAGTACATTCACCCTATCTGCCAGTCTTTTATCAGTCAGCATAATGGAAGTGTTTCCGTTGCTTTAAATGAAATCAAAAGAGTATTTTTTCAGAGTGCTTACCTAACCCTATCTCAATTACACACAAAATAAACAAATGTAATACTCCCCTTTTCCAAAAATTACTCCTTAAACTTTAAAAAATGAAGCAGACTAAATTATTGTTCTAATGGAAGTTACTGTACAGCTGGCGTGATTTTTACTTTGCTACAGTATAATGAAAGCATTGTAAATAAAGGACCATGAAATGAAATGATGGAGCGGTGGCACTGGGGCTAAGGATCTGTGCCTGTGGCTGGAAGGTTGCCAGTTCAAATCCTGCAGCCGCCAGAGGAATCCTATTCTGTTGGGCTCCTCAGCAAGGCCCTTAACCCCAACTGCTCCAGGGGTGCTGTACAATGGCAGACCCTGTGCTCTGACCCTAGGCTCTCTCCCTATCTGTGTGTCTCATGGAGAGCAAGCTGGGGTATGCAAAAAGACAATTCCTAACACAAGAAATTGTAAAGGGTTAATGAAATGATGTAACTTTGTTATAAATGGAGAACAGAGTGAAAGAGCTTCCTGTACACTGTGTTGGGGTCATGATTTAATTTGATTTCAGTCCACAAGATGAATGTAGGTACCTGCAAAGGCAACTACAGAGTGAAGAACATCTGTCTTATCTATCAGAAACTATTTTCTTTTGTATTTTTTCTTCCATAGGCCCTGATTCTTTTATTTTATTAAGATTTAGTCAAAAAAAATAATGGGCTTCTATGTGGTTCCATTCAGGAAAGGCCTCTGGTCCAGGTACAGCATATACTGTACCCTACAGACTCCAGTTTGAATTTAGACTATATCACTTGTGATTGAGTTCTGTGAGCTTGTGGCATTAGAAGAGTGATATCTGTCTGTTTTCCACCTGAGACAATTGCTCCTTTGTATGCAGTGTTGACTTTAGTTATACAACAGACATATAGTAATTGTTAATGGCATCGGAGTTTGAATTAATTGAATTATGTTGTATACATTTTTTTAATCTAAAATTATAACTGTGACACTATTATCACTTATTAGAGTATGTCATTTTCTCATACAAAAATGTGTAAAAGTTTCTAACCTTTTTATTATTATGACAAAAAGCTCAGTCTCTGACAGCCACATAGTTAACCAATCCACCATCTACTCTCTAACTAGGAATTTACATCTGTCCTAATTCTGACAGGTTTAGTGGTATAATTGAATCAGTTAAACTTCTTTGTATTCCTTTGTGACTTTGTAAGGGATTGCCAGTGATGTTCTTTATTTGCTTTTCCCAAATTGTAATACTCTTTATAGTTTAGATGTTCAAAACAAATTGTTATTATTGGCATCAGCGCATCCAAACATCAGTGGCAAAAAAGTATTTTATTTATTGTCATCTTCTGTGAATCTTTATATTTCAAAATGCAAAGATAAAAAGCTCAATTTATAACTAGAAAAGGAATGAATGATAAGAAAATGTAAATGAATAGAACAAAATAGTCAAACTGTAGTAAATACTGAATATGAAATACTTCATATTCTCTTCTAATATTAAACATAAAATATTAAACATAAAACTCAGTAAAAGTTCCTACTTTATATATCCTTCTCACATGCTGCTTCTCATTCACTTCCCTGTATGTGCCAAAATTCCTTACCTTTGAAATCAGGGTAAGGTTATTTAAGACGCTTCTGAACTAAGGGGTATAAAATCTACTTCAGAGGCTTTAATATTACAGAAATACCAAACTGAGTATTGAGACCTGTTTTAGATGTATATGCAAAATATCCAAATAAATAGGTTTACTGCATCTTTTCAATTTTCAAGGACACCTCTCCTTTGCTTAAAAGGGAAAATAAATGCAAGATGAATGAAGCTGCAAGAAACCATTCCTAAATGATTTGGTTAGGATTAGACTTTCATATTGCAAAAAGGGAGCATATAACTAGGCCAACTCATGCAACTATACTTGAAAAACTATTTTCGGTTCATTTTTGTGAATTTGTCTAAACACGCTAAACAGACAGACAATATACTGACAAAGTCCTGTACATTTAATTTACTTAGTTTGTCCTTCAAAGTAAGTGGAATAAAATAAAATTGATTAATATAAATGACCAAATCAATTGACCAAATCAAGTAAACCAGACATTTTGGTTTTAATTTTGCACTTTCCATGCAAACTAAGTTACAGTAATTGGCATGATAGTTGATGTTTCACTTAAAAGAGATAATTGTAAGAAACAAATCTTCACTTATCAAATCAATAAAACTTATTAAATTGTTACAAATATTAAATATTAAAAATATGTCCTTATCTGGTCAAAAATGTCATATAAACTGACATATACTTCAATAAAGCAAATACATAAATCTGAACTTCTCAGCTGGCTCTTAAGGTTACAGTAGAAATCATTATAATAAAGTATTGTAGCACGATGCGGGGCGCTTTAGCCATGCGCACGTAAGGCTGGCTGACAACAGCACCTGGGAGTGGGACTTTGGGACTGTATACAGTGGGACGGAGGCTGGGAGACAGTCTCTTCCCTTCATGTGTTAGTGTAGGCGCAGTGCTGTAACCCCTGTCCCTGTGTGTGTACCTTTCCCTGGTTCGAGTTATTAAATGTATTGTTCAACCCCATTCCCTGAGTCCCATGCCTGCTCCATTCCGTACCGAAGCCCGCGGTCGTTACATTGGTGTCAGAAGCAGGATGGAGTGGAGCGGTCAGAGGCCCAGAGCAGGGCAGTGAGAGGCCCAGTGTGCGGGGAGAGAGCCCAAGCTGAGACGAAGGGTCCTGGCATGGACGGAGAGCCTGCCCAGACAGAGGGTCCTGACCCGGAGACGCTAGCATGAGGAG